AACCTTGTCCTCAGTGTGAGGAACCTTGTCCTCAGCGTGAGGAACCTTGTCCTCAGCGTGAAGAACCTTGTCCTCAGTGTGAAGAACCTTGTCCTCAACGTGAGGAACCTTGTCCTCAGGGTGAGGAACCTTGTCCTCAGCGTGAAAAAGTTTGTCCTCAGCGTGAGGAACCTTGTCCTCGTCGTGAAGAAACTTGTCCTCAACGTGAGGAATTAACCTTGTCCTGAGCGTGAAGAACCTTGTCCTCCACGTGAAGAAGCTTGTCCTCAGCATGAGGACCCTTGTCCTCAGCGGGAAGAACCTTGTCCTCCGCGTGAGGAACCTTGTCCCCAGCGTGAGGAACCTTCTCCACAGCGTGAAGAACCTTGTCCTCAGCGTGAGGAACCTTGTCCTCGGCGTCAAGAACCTTATCCTCAGCTTGAGCAACCTTGTCGTCGGCGTGAAGAACCTGGTCCTCAGCGTGAGGAACCTGGTCCTCAGCGTGAGGAACCTTGTCCTCAGCGTGAGGAACCTTGTACTCAGCGTGAGGAACCTTATCCTCAGCGTGAGAAACCTTGTCCTCAGCGTGGGGAACCTTCCCCTCAGCGTGAGGAACCGTGTCCTATGCGTGAAAAAGCTTGTTCTCAGCGTGAGGAGCGTGAGGAACCTTGTCCTCAGCGTGAGGAACCTTGTCCTCAGCGTGAGGAACCTTGTCCTCAGCGTGAGGAACCTTGTCCTCAGCGTGAGGAACCTTGTCCTCAGCGTGAGGAACCTTGTCCTCAGCGTGAGGAACCTTGTCCTCAGCGTGAGGAACCTTGTCCTCAGCGTGAGGAACCTTCTCCTCAGCGTGAGGAACCTTGTCCTCAGCTGAGGAACCTTTCCTCAGCGTGAGGAACCTTGTCCTCAGCGTAGAACCTTGCTGAGAACCTTGTCCTCTGAACCTTGTCCTCGAGAACCTTGTCCTCAGCGTGAGGAACCTTGTCCTCAGCTGAGGAACTTCTCCTCAGGGTGATGAACCTTCCCCTCAGCGTGAGCAACCTTGTCCTCAGCGTGAAAAAGCTTGTTCTCAGCCTGAGGAACCTTGTCCTCATCGTGAAGAACCTTGTCCACAGCGTGAGGAATCGTGAAGAACCTTGTCCTCAGCGTGAGGAACCTTATCCTCAGCGTGAGGAACTTTCCTCAGCGTGAAGAACCTTGTCCTCACCGTGAGGAACCTTCCTCTGCGCGTGCTACCGGACACGTAGGGTGTTGAATGTTTCAGAAAAGATCAATTGATGTCAAAAGCCTTCCCTTTAAATTTAAGTTAACTCATCGTGAGGAACCTTGTCCTCAGCGTGAGGAACATTTTCCTCAGCGTGAGGAACCTTATCCTCAGGTGAGAAACATTGTCCTCAGCGTGGGAACCTTGTCCTCAGCGTGAGGAACCTTGTCCTCTGCCTGAAAAAGCTTCTTCTCAGGGTGAGGAACCTTGTCCTCGGCGTGAAGAACCTTGTCCTACCTTGTCCTCGGCCTGAATAACCTTGTCCTGAGCATGAGGAACCTTGTCCTGAGCGTGAAGAACCTTGTCCTCCACGTGAAGAACCTTGTCCTCAGCGTGAGGAACCTTGGGCTCAGC